AGCTGCCTCATATTTACCGGTAAATGATGAAAATGTCTGCTGCATAGCACAGATCAGAGACTAAGTACTTCAACACCTTCACAGACAGTTCTTAATGTCCCTTTTCTATAGGTTGGCATGAAGTGCTAATAAATGGGGGATACGGGGGGGGTTCCCCCCCCTGTCTAGGGAATAAGTAGAAGGTAGGAAAGGTTATGTTGAGTATTTGGGTTCACATGATACCCTGGTTTTGGAACTTAATCTCTGGATGGTGTTTCACTCTTGATAACAACTGCCAGCTTTTTAATACTACTCAATTTGTTTTACTTTTATTCCCGTCAGTTTTCTTTGAAAAGGTTATTCTTGTACCCATCACCATATCCACTGTTGACAAAGTCTCATAATCGCCATGGCCTCCACACCTTTCACATTTCAGCACAGGCCAAAAAACTTCCACCATGAATTTAAGGAAGACTGGTTCCTTATTTGATAGTATATCACTAAAATAGTCTACCATTTTGAGTATTTCCATTATTGTTGCATAACAATCCTTGCCTTCACATGAGCATTTCATTATATTGCCAAGTGAAAAAAAAAAAAAGTATCCCACATGATAGATTTTACAAAGGATCCTTTACTGTTTCTATATTTGGTCAATCTTTACAGTATGGATGCATGAAGTTAAGGCAAATGAAAGTTATTTTCTTTTGGCGAACAATAACAAGCTGTCATCTGTACAAAAAAAAATCTGCAGATACAAACAGTAACACCACAAATAAAGGTAAAAGATCACAGGAAGCGTCGCTCTCAAACCGAGTACACTTGGTGCTCCCAAGTTCAAGCTCTTATCTTGTCATGCATACCAAGGCAATGAAGACAGAGCTCCTCATCGACCCTCCCCATATCCAGTCAGAGCATCTTAGATTAATAAATCAATTTTGTGACATGGAGTTGGGGAGTCTCTGGCAAGTTTGTCTATATTGTAAGAATTACCTATGCTCTAAAAAATGCTGATTAGAAAAGAAAAAAGATGATGACAAAAAAAAATGGGCATACCAGCTCTGGGAGGCTGAAATAATCTTTAAATAAGTGAATGAACTAGTTTTCCTTGAGTTTGGATTGAAGCAAATGCAGGGCAGGGTCTTGAAGTTTGCTTAACATTTTGGTAATGCTTTACTGTACAAATGCACTCACTAGAAACTAAGTCCCCAAAGCCACATCACTAAGTCTATTCAACAATCTAAGTTGTATGACTAAGCTTACCATTTGAGCACAATGCAAGGGGAAAGTTTATGGGATCACCCTAAACACCCTGCCAGCATACTATGTCATTGTCCAAGAGCGATGCACCCTCCAGAGACGATGTACCAGGGTATCCTACAAATCCAGAAATCCAAACCTAACCCCTCCTAGACAGGGGGGAAACCCCTGTATACCCCTTTTATTAGCACTTTGTGCCAACTTATAAAAAACATGACGTTACGAGCTCTGGCTGTGGAAGGGTGTATTGGACTTAGTCTCTGCGTGCGTTTTTTTTTTTCCATTTAACGGTAAATATAAGGCCTCTGCATCTTATACTACATTCTATCCCACTCTATTTCTTTCGCTCTATAAGATGGCGGTGTCCATTTTGCTCTATCTACGCGCGCTGGTCTCTTCAATCTCTACCGCTAGTTTAAATATTAACTTTACCTTTTTCATAAATAACAACCATTTATAGTTCATGTTATATTTCAGTTATCGGTCAAGACTGCTTCCTCTCACACTAACTATGCACAATAAAATACGTCTCTTGGAAACCAACTAGACGCTTGAATTCATTCAGAACATCTGCAGTAGACCAAGCCCTATCTTGCCAGAACAATGACACCCATGAGATGTCCTTCAACTTCTGTCAGACTAAAGGCAAAGAGGTCATCATGACACTCAATACTTATACTATAAGCTATATTATACATAGTTTTAAATAACCTTTGTATTTGAAATTTCCTAAGGAAGTTTACACTTTTATAACATGACACACTGAAGAGTACTACACAAAATACGGTGGCCTGGCTAAGAGCCGGGAGTTGGCAGCCCCTGTGCACTAGCCTGCACTGCACTTTGTTTATTAATAATTTCCTTGGACTATTCCATACCCTACTTAATAAACGGAGTCCATACCCTTGCAATAGTAGGTCAGCTTTGAATGAAAGATACTGTTAAAAGATAATAAATAACCAAATATCAATCCTGATCGGATTGCTCTTGCAGTAAATATTATAATCTACCATCAAGTAAAAACAGGACTGACGAAGCGTATCTTTTAGTAGCAAATGCCGCTTTATCATTTGTAAACCACTGAGTAACCTATGGAACAAAGGGTTAAATCAATAGTAAAATAATGACAAAATTAGTAATGCCTACTCTGCGGCGTGTGTACTTGTCAGTCAGGAAATCCGGCTGAATGTTTGAGGATTTAGAAGAACGCTCTAAAAGGTTACACGAACGATTTGTCGACATAAAAAATAGTCGTAACATAATCGTTAGTAAAAACAAAATCAAAACTATAAGCTAGTAATGTATATCAATGCTTAAACAAAAATATCTATAATTAATTTCCATTCATAAAGTTATAAACTTATAGTTATACCTCTGAGGACATTGGCTTTCGCCGTTCTTTTAGTTTTATAAATTTTCGTTCAGACCAGAATACCGATACCGGTAATCTGAAAAGAAAACAGAAATGGACAGTATCGCGATATATGTATCGCCAATACATATCGGTCGATACTTTTGCATTGGTATCGGTATCGCTTAGTTACTCAATAACATTCTATCGGTATCGCTAGGGTATTTTTCTCAAGATGTAGCGAAAAAATCAATACATTGATACATTTACATGACCAATTTTAATTAATAGCTGATATTTATGAATATCTGTCTAGTATAGAATACCTATCACAAATCGAAAAAAACGGTTCATTGATAATGGTTAATGCTGTGCGTGCGTGTATGTGTTGTGTGTGTGTGTGGTGTGTGTGTGTGTGTGGTGTGTGTGTGTGTGTGTGTGTGTGTGTGTGTGTGTGTGTGTGTGAGTGTGTGTGTGTGTGTGTGTGGTGTGTGTGTGTGTGTGTGTGACGCAGTGTAGTGGTCTCGTCTTGCAATCTTGCTTGACCCGCTTTCAGGTCTTACACCGCCTGTGGAAATAGTAACCCCGACCATTACTTGCACAAAGGGGGTAATTCAACAGGCAAA